TTAGGGTTTTGGGTGTAGGGTTTAAGGCTGAGGGTTCAAGGTTTAGGGTTTAGACTTTAGGGCTTAGGGTTTAGTGTGTAGGGTCCAGTCAGCAGCCAGGACCTAAGCCCCGCGTGAACCCGCAGCTCGTAGCATTCACTCGAAAGCAATGCAACACCATAGACAATACAAGGTGAACCCTGCCATACCATATGAATTCCATAGCTGCATGTGCGGGATTGAGCCCGAAACCCTAAACCCCCAACCCTAAACGCCGAAGCCTAATGCCAAAAACCACAAAAGTCCTAAACACTAAACCCTGAACCCTAAACCCTAAACCCTAAACCCAAAAAATCCTAAACCCTAAACCCTGAACCCTAAACCCAAAAAATCCTAAACCCTAAACCCTAAACCCTAAACCCAAAAAATCCTAAACCCTAAACCCTAAACCCTAAACCGCTGCTCAGAGCCCTGCCAGCAACCTGGTGTCCTCCGACGGCGACCCGGTCACCAGAGCCGATTCCTGCCGAAGAGCGCGGTTGAGGGTTTTACGGGGTTTAGGGTTTAGGGTTTAGGGTTTAGGGTTTAGGGTTTAGGGTTTAGGGTTTAGGTGTTTGTGGTTTTTGGCATTAGGCTTAGGCGTGTAGGGTTGGGGGTTTAATTAGGGATTATAGGGTTTAGGATTTTAGGGTTCAGGGCTTTTAGGGTCTTTTGGGTCTTTTGAGTTTAGCCATATAAATTAGAGGGACTTATAAGCCCACTTATCGCTACCCATGAACCTCCAAGTAATTATGAGAACAGCGCTTGGGGTCCTGGTGGAATAACAAGAAGGAAACAAAGGGAGGAATTCTGGAAACTGTCGAGGCTTCCATAATGTACCTTAACCTAACAAAACCTATAGTTTTGTAGGGTCCCTAACAATTCCATACTAGGGTCTATAATCAGAACCTACAAACAGGTAGGAGTTGGTAGTACAAGGTAGGGCCTGGGTCTGACAGGGTTTAGCGTTTAGGGCCTCAAGCAACAAGCTGCAAAGTCTTGTAAACCTGCCGCTGCAAGGGCTTACAGCTTATGGTTGAGTGATATGTATGTATATATATATATATATTTTTATGTATACATATGTATCTATACATATGTATATATATATATATATCTGAGGGAAGTTGGAAGAAGCGGCGACACAAGTATAGGGGTGACTGCAGATGAGTTGTCAGATGCTGCGCGGATAGCGTCTGGGCCATATGGATCAGAAACATTCGTAGTCACATCCCCGTCGCAATCCCTTTCTACCTTATACTACCAACTTCTACTTACTGTAGGTTCTTATTCTAGACCCGCATACTATAGGGATCCTGCAAAAAAGTAGGTTTATGGCATTATCAAGCCCAAACCTCTATCGTCGGTACTAGGGCAATTCCCATACTGGGACTAGGAGATCTTCAGACCTCGCTACCTAAGCTGTCCATACCGCCCAGCACTGTTTTATTGCCGGTCCAACCTATCCGGTACCAAAGGTGCTGCGAGCCTAAAACTCTACAACTGCCACTCACACCTGCTGCCGGCCCTGCTTCAAAACCCGCGGTGGGCCCGCGAGAGGAATATCCTGCTATGCATGAACATTTTGTATGCATGTATGCATGCAAATGTACATTGGTATAAGTATATACATATGTGATTGCCTTTTGGCTTATACTTTTGATGTGTATCTTTTTTGTGTCTCTTTTTGTGAAACACACATACATATATACACACACAGACACTGCGGTCAACTATGACCTGCAGAAGATACCCTGACTCAGAACGGCTCCTGAATTTCTCGAACCCCCAAAAGCCCAAGTTCAGCATCCAGCTCATAGCCCAAGGACACATCCTAGCCTGTTCTTATTGTAGTTTGAAGGCCCCGAACCTATTCAGGAATACGTACCTCTATAAGAGCAGAAGAAAAGATTAAGGGTATCCCAAAGTGCCACTTGGCAGCCCCAATGCCCCAAAGGCCCAAGTACATGCACGGTATGTTCTATGCAATTGCCTGCCGTCTGCATTACTGGGAAGCTGCACATACAAGAACTCAACCCACCATCTCACCCTTCCCACAGAGGCGGTCATTCCGAGGCGTGACCGTGACATTCAGCATATGGAAGGCGCCGGGGTTCACACTCGCCGGCTGGATGGAGGCCTTCCCAAGGAAGAAGTCAGCATGACAGAGAGAACCACAGAGAGAGCCAACCACAGGTGATAATGTTGTGATTGAAGGTGCATTACTTAATTGAAGGGTCGGGCTATATGGGTGCATGCCCGTATAACTGCTCATACAAGCGGGCTTCCGAATCGAGTCAAGTCCTGTGCTTTGTCTGCAGTCATGCTGTTGTCAGCATACTCTTCTCCTGGCTAGTACGATCATCAAGCATGAAGAAAAGTACTATGATGTTGATGATGCTAAGGAGGATGACATTGAGTGATGACGGTGATGACGACGATCTGTCAAAGTTGTTTTGCCCTGCTGTTGCTGCTACTGATATAATAACTGGTTTCATGCTTGAGTTTGTTCGCGCTACTATCTCCACCGATGCTAGGACGCTAGGACTGCCATACATCAGTGGTTCCCTCCGCTTGAGCTGGGTGGATGGGTGATCTTGTTGCGTAATCCCCATCCAGCCGCAAGGCGAGTCTTGCTAACTAGTCCGAAAACCTAAACCCTGAACCCGAAACCCTTAACCCAGCCCGCGTTACCGAGACCGTCAGCTGTTGCTGTTAGCCTTGAAAAGCCCAGGGATTTCGGATGTAGTCTACGGTAGTTATGATAAGGAACTCTGCGGAAGAGCATGGGTGGTGAATCAGGCCCCTATATTCTGGCCTTACTTGGAAGTTCATGGGTAGTTATTAATTAGTAGGGTTATACATTTCCTAATAGGATCGGTGATACCTATATAGCTACCCTACTTTTACCCCCACTTATGACTACCCATGAACCTCCAAGCAAGCCCTGAACCCTAAACCCTAAGGGTTTAGGGTTCAAGAACTTAGGACTGTTGGTTCGGGCGTTGCACAGTCACCCAAGGGCACGGCGGCCCTTGGGGATATAGACCCTCTCAATAAGGTCCTTTCTAAGAGAGCCATGACCCCTTTGAGGGGTCTCCCTGATACTACCTATAGGATGCTTGCAACCCATGTCTCGAGGACCAAGCCAACAAGTAGGACCCGAATGAAGCAACAACTGCCTGTGGAAGAAACGTCTAATATAGCGGCCTTGATAATTAGAATAGGGTTGTGGGCTCCTTGATAGTATTAGTATACTATAAGGAACCCAAAGGAATCATGTTGGCAATTACTCAGATTGTTCAGGCTTCTATATTAAGCTGCAAGGAACTCCCAGAGCCGGGTGCCTTAATCTTCTGACCAGCCTGCATCAACACTGAACTCTACTTGTAGGTTCATGGGTAGTTATAAGTAGGGTTATAAGTCCCCTAATATGGGTTATAACTATAGTTACCCTACTTATAACCCACTTACAACTACCCATGAACCTCCAAGTATGCACCCTCGAAGCAAAGAAACGACTCCAGGGCCGCATAGCGCACCTCCATTCCACTGAGTGTAAAGCCAGGGACGCTCGCCTGACTAAGGCATCCAGGGAGCACGTGTCATAGGAGGAAAGAGTGGAAAGGAGGAGACGGTGGTGATGGGTGCTTGATGGCATTCGTGCTGCTGGTGGCTGTGGCAGTGGCGATAGAGACGGTCACGGTAAACATGGTCTTGCTTTGGCCAGGGGCCGGGGGAGGAGGGGGGCAATAGCGGGCTATGCTTCTGGCATCGGTTCCTTGGCGCACAGACCGTGAACCCTAAAACTCTAAACCCCAAGCCTTAAACCCTAAACCCTAAACCCTAGTTTGATAACAGGATCCGCATGTTGGCCATTTCTGCAAGCTTCGGTTGCAATCCTTGGAGCTTCGACCCTTGTAACCCTAAAGCCCCACTAACCTGACAGTATTAGACTCTATGATTTCCACGGTTTGGTGTCTAGGATTTAGAGTTTAGGGTTAAGGGTTTAGGGTGAGCCGATCTCTGAGCTTCGGGTTGGAGAGCAGTTCTCCCCAGAGTCTTTTTCTGCACAGGGTCTAGGGTGTTTCGAAGCAGTGCACAATACGCAGAAGGGGGCCGCAAAGGTGGCCCGGCTTGAATTTACGGTTTCGGGACTTGGAAGCTAACGCTTCCAGGCCGACATAAACATGAAATGCAATGCTCCCTGCTTTCTACTAATCAGAAGAATCCATCGAAGTATAATTAAGCAGGATCTCACAGAAATCTACAACAAACTCCCACACCACAAACTCCGACGGGCCTAAATATTCCACATCCGGGAATCGTGGATCCTTTCCAACACACACTAGAAACCCACTCGGACACTTTTGGAGGACCCTCCAGACTTAGGGTTTAGGGTTTAGGGTTTAGTTTAGGGTTTGGGTTTAGGGGCTTCAAAAGCAGAATGAAGCCCATACCTCTCACTCAACCCACAGCGTACTGTAAACTACCGGAACCTTGCAGCACTTTGCCGAAATGTGAAGCTGCAGTGACTTTATCGTGTATAATACTCCTACGGAAAACTTAGGCTATGCAAACCCGAGACTGACATTAACGTATTCTGTTACTCCACAACCCTGGTTTAAGGGCCCGAAGCCCTATTAATGTATGAAGTATCGGAATAGGGTTTAGGGGTATATTATTCGCAACCTTACGAAGGGAATAGAACTTGTTCAAGCCCCTACAATATGTTTTCAAACCCTGAAGCCCGAAGCCGAAGACCCTAAAACCCCTAAACCCGAAACCGATCCCCTAATTCTGCGGCTTTCTGCTGCTGCTTGAGAAAGCACCGTAGAGCCTCAAAGCTATACCAAGTAAGATAATATACTTTCACCCCAAAGACCCCCAAAGTATTTGGGTCCAAACCCTGTTCTTGGGTAGGTTTGGGTTTACGGTTTAAGGGTTCTTGGGGAGGTTAAGGTCAAGCCAGCCGAAAGCGCCCCAAAGACGGCCTGGTGCAGCGTCACAAAGGAGTCCAAAGATTCGGCCCAGCCTCGGGGTAAAATTGGGGCGAATAGGAGGTTATAAACTGCTATCATATACTATAAGATATTATGATATACTATAATGAACTATAACATATACTATAATATACTAGAATATACTATACTGAATTAAACTAGAAATGTACTATAACCTGCCAGCCTCACAGCTAGAATAGAGTTCTGTGGGGTTCCCAGTTTGATGAGGTGTCTCGAAGGGCTTATGAGTCTCTACGGCTTGATAAGGCAAAAGGGGTTCAGGAGTTTGGAGGGCTGAAGGAAGTCGGGGGCTTGGGCGTAATTATGGGTCTTTCGGATTTTCGGGATGACTGAGGTGGTGGGGTTTCAAGGCTTTTGAATTTTGGTAGGGCATCTGGAGTTGAGCAAACGTTGCACCAGGGTGCAAAAGCCGGCGTACAAACAGAAGACTGCCCAAAACACTCCCTTGCATTGTGCGACCCATATGCGGTTACTACTACTGCTATCACTTCGGCAACATTGACCCTAAACCCTAAACCCTAAACCCTCGACCCTAAACCCTAAACCCATTGGTCTTTCCCTTATTAAGCAACCTCGCCGAACCCTCGAACCTCAGAACAAGTCTACGAAACGCAGTACGCGAGATTGAAGGTGTAGCTAGCTTTTAATGTGTCGGGACAGGATACATCAGAATCAAAATCCTCCCTTATAAAGCCAATAAGCCCTAAAGCTTTCGAACCCGGGTTTAGGGTTTAGGGTGAACCCTCTGAGGTACACATTCCTTCCTTCAGCGTCCATGGCGATCTGAGATCTGCGGTTTCTTAAGGAGTCATAGCTTTTTGGACTGTACCTTAAGAACCCAAAACCTACTTTTTGCAGGGTCCCTATAAATCCCATATTAGGGTTTATAATAAAAACCTACAAAGAAGTGGGTTTTGGGTTCTTAAGGTATACTCATACTTCCTCTTGTGGTAGGGGGGTTTACTAATCAGGGTCTACACTATTAGTTTTTCCCCGAAGCCTCCATGATAGCCTGCTACCATGGAACGATAGATCCCCAACGACATAGTAGGTCTGGTCTCTTTTGACAGTTTTGGGTTTAGGGGTTTAGCGTTAAGGGTTTAGGATTCAGGGTTTAAAGGTTTCGGGTTCAGGGCTTTAGGGTGTCTTTTGGGACCTAACTCCGTCATGATAGTACGTATGGAGCCTGTGGGATTACTATGGCCGGCGAGCCGCGTGTGAGAAGGCGCCATTCGTTCACAAGCTCACCGGCATTGAAAAGGGCATTGCGCAGCAAGAGGGAGATCTCGGATCGGATGGAAGGCTTCAGGGGATTCAGTGCTTACAGCAAACCCCAGAAAGTTGGGGTTTTAGGGTTTAGGGTTTAGGATTTAGGGGTTCAGGGTTTACAGCAAACCCCAGAAAGTTGGAATGTGGGTTTCGGAGGATAAGTGCTAGAATCCCTTCTACTCTACCTTAAGGGCATGAGGATAATGATGTTCCAACTTTCTGGCTTCTACTGTAGGGCCTACGGTTGATGGTATAAATCCTGCATTACTCATAATAAGGAATATACTATAACTCCCATAGTTTAGGGTCCTTAAGGTAATGCAGGAATTATATCATCAATGATAGGGCTTGGGGATTTAGGGTTTAGGGTGCGCTCCATTTCGAAACCCAACTTGGGGGTCTAAGTAGGCTTATAAATCCCCTAATAGTGGGTTATAACTATAGTTACCCTACTTATAACCCCACTGATAGCTACCCATGAACCTCAGAACAAGCAACCTGAAGCCCAGGACCCTAAACTACACCCTAAACCCTAAACCTTGAACCCCGTTATAAGTATAGTTGCCCTACTTATAACCCCAGTTATAGCTACCCGGAACCCCTATAGAACCCTCAGAGGAAGCCGCCTTAAAGGAGCCCTTAAAGGAACCCTGCCGCCTCCAAGTAACTGCGGCAACCCTGAAGCGCACCGTCGTAAACTCGGAGTGCGGCCCAGAGTGCACTAGAACAGTGCTCAGACCCTACTATAGTTCTCTAAATTTTAGGGTTTAGGAGGGTGCCGTACTATTATTTTGGGGACCTACAAAGGGACCCTAATTTTGAACACTACCCATATTGCGAGCCCTACTTACGAATTGCAAAGAGCGGCCTTATACTCCTGGTCCTTCAGAAGCATGCCGCTGCGGAAACTCTCCTGCCACAGTTTAGACCGTAAGGTTTAGGGTTTAGGGTTTAGGGTTTAGGGTTTAGGGTTTAGGGTTTAGGGTTTAGGGGTATATAAGGCTGAAGTCCACAGGTTTGAGGTTCCTAACAGGGCGGCTCGAAGCACAGGGATCTTGATAATATGTTGTCATTAGGGTTTAGGGGGGGGTAGGGTCTCGGAGTTTAGGGTTTAGGGCCAGTTTAGGGTTAAGGCGGCTAGGGCTTTTGGGTTGTTGTTGTGGTGGTTGTGGTGGTGGTGGTGGTGCTGGCGTTCTTGCGACCCCGTCGCTCGTACCAGTCCGCTAGCTCATGCCACTTCGCAGTACAGCTCTGGGCCTTCTTGATATTTAGACTAGGGCCTTAGGGCTTTTGGGGTATGTTAGACTAGAGTTATAACAGAGAACCACGCATAGTATTGGCACTTACTATTTAGGCCCCAATTAAACCCTAAACCCTGAACCCTAAACTGCCGTCTTAGCTGCCGGCTCGAACGCACGAGGGAGGTCTGATGCGCACCCTGAACCCTAGAGCCGTCCCTCGATTGCACCCAGCTAATTTACCTCTTCAAGGCTCTCAGAAGTATTACGTAATGATGAACCCTGACAAGGTCCGTTTCACAGTGTTCAGGAAAGCCGAGCCAAGCGGCGCTGTGAGGTCTGAGCCTTGGAAAAGTTCGAAACCCACATTAAACTAATACTAAATCACCACACCCAAACAGAAACGCTAAACATCCCTAAACCCCAAACTAAAGCCCTAAACCCCAAACGCTTAGCTTTTGCCCGAAACCTGCGCCACCTTCGGGGATTGGATCTTAGGAGACTTTGGGCCTAAGCTTTGGGGATTTCAGGGTTTACCTTTCAGTGCCAGCTTAAAGGTAAGAGGTTGAGGTGTTCGGGATTTAGGGCGCAGGGGCTTAGGGTTCTGGAAAGCTGAAATTCAGGTTTAGGGCCTAGGGTTTTAGTGTCAAAAGCACCATAGAAATTTGCCAGCCACCTGCGCTTCCAGGAGGAGCAGCGTGGCGTTTGAGTAGGCCTCGGTCACCGTGCCCAAAAACACTTGACTGCACACCTAAACCATACCACGATAGCTACTACCGTTCCTGAAACCCATGCTGCTGTTGCCGTCCCTTGTGATGGAAATTCTAATGTCGTCTATAAAGGCCATTAAAATAAAACACGATGCGCAATTAACCACAACATCCGAGTCTGCAGAACTATGTCCTGATTCTTAACAGGAAACACCAAACCTCGAATGATCCCGGTTTCGTTCTCTGCATTGTCTAAACTATCAACCCCAACGGGTCCCTGACTTGGGAAGTGCTACGTAAGTAAGGGAAGAGAGGCTCAAATGCTACCTGAAACGTGATGATCTACTTGTAACCGTGGAGCCCAACCACATCCTGCAAATACACTCCTCTGAACCCCGGTTACAGTGCCGAAAGACCCTAAACCCTAAACCCTAAAACCCCTAAACCCCTAAACCCTAAACCCTAAACCCTAAACCCCTAAACCCTAAAGCCTAAACACCCCTGACCCATCGAGGCAGGCACACCCGTCGTCACACCACGGCATTCGTAAGGAGGCGGCCTCGCTTCGAAGGCGTTCGCAAAGCTTAGGGTTTAGGGTTTACGGTTTAGGGTTTAGGACTCAGGGTGTCGGCAAGTGACTACCCATAGGCCCCATAGTAGTTCCTTTTGGGGTAAGGTGATCCCCAAAACTACTACGGGGCCTGTGGCTAGTCATGAATTGCGAGCTTAGTGTACATAACCAACTCGGACTGCAATTGCTAGGCTAAGCTTTCCTCCACAATACCAACGCAGAATATACTGGCCGGCATACTTAGTAACCACACTCCCTAATAGTCCTATCATGTACTCCAAAAAGCTAATCGAACTACTTAGGCCCCTATACTATATAGCCTCCACTGAGGTGTGGGAATCCGGAAGATCGAACCTGGCAAGCTGAGGTTTGCATAAAATTCCGAGATCGATTATGTTGGGTTTTGGGATTGAGGGCATCATCCCTAAACTCTAAACCCTAAGCCCTAAACCCCAAACCCGGCTTGAGGGCATCATCAAGAGAGTGGGAGAGGGGGAAAGGGGCAGGGAGGCAGGAGGGAAAGAGAGAGAGAGAGAGTGAGATAGAGACAGACCCACTACAGCCTCTCCTGGTACTGTCAGAGCCAGTACATCCAGCCACTGCAACCTGCAATTCCAACGCCGAGCCCGCGACAAACTGCTGCCACTTAGCGTTGAAGACCCGACTGCCTGCAGGCAAGATCTTGCAGTGTAATCTACATATGCATATACATCATATAATATACATACACAAGTGTGCGAGTGTGTGCAATAAAAAGGAGTTTGTGCACATGTACACGTCGATCGAATCAAGAATACAAGTATCCATACTACGCCATAGACACAGGTGCACACAGTTCTGGTACAGCCTTGCAGTGTTGATACTTGGAGGTTGATAGGTAGTCATAAGTGGGTTATTTTAGTAGGGAAACTATCGTTATAACCTATATTAGGGGATTTACATCCCTACTTAGAACTACCCATGAACCTCCAAGCATAGGAAAAGCAAAACAGGGGCCTTAATACGGTTTTGGCCCCGTTATGCTATAATGACACTAAGGAACCCCCAGAATAGTATAGGTAATTCCTAAGGCCCCTATATTAGTCTCTCAAGGCTTCGACCCCCCGGGGCCCCAGTAAGGCGTTACCTCGCACCAGTCTCTTGAGACAGAAGCTTAGTTCCATACGGGCTGTGGCCTTAAAGTAGTCCCTATATATATATATATATACTTTGGGGCCAAAGTCTATACTCCTTGGGTTCATGGACCCGTCGGGTTAAGCCCTACGGCCCTACGTGCATGGGTAATTCTCTAAATTAGGGTCCCTTTTTAGGTCCCCAACATAGTCCGGCACCCTTATAGTAAGGATCCCAAAAAGGACCCGAATTTAGAGAATTACCCATATACTCCTGAGCAATACCAGACCGATGCCAGCAATCCTGGCAGCTTATGCAAACCTGCTCATCATGGAACTGACAAGCGATAAATTCCAAAAGCCCTAAACCCGTGATAGGGTTTGGGTTTAGGGTTTAGGGGTTTAGCGGTTTAGGGGTTTGGGGTTTAGGGTTTAGGGTATGCCCCCTACACCGAAACTCTAACTAAACCCCAAAACTCGTTCACCGATTCTGCGCTTCTTGCGCCATGTTGCATCCCTGGCTTCGCATTGCGGCGGGAAGACCTGGCAAAGGGTCTTGTGGCGATTTATAGGGCTAGTAAAGTTCAGGGTTGCTCTATATGGTTTCTGGTATGAGAACGCTACAAGGGCTCTTGTAGAAGTTGTGCAGCATTCGTATAGACACCCCAAGTACAAAGCCCTGCACAGGAAGCCTTACACTGCAAATGCTCAAACCTGTCACACAGGGTAGACAAGCCATAAGCAAAAGAAGGACAAGGCCCTCAACGGTTTAGGGTTAGGGTTTAGG